TTGCCGATTATCTCTCAATTTCATAGAATATTTTTTACTTTTATTTCATTCGGTTAATGTAGCCATAGGAAGCTAGCGTTGCCATTTGGCAACAGGCAATATTTTTAGGTTTTAATATATATTAATAATTATTTTTGTCTTTTTCTAAGTAAGTTTTGCCCATTCATAAGAGTTATTTGTATTATTTATGTAAAATAAAGATTTTCGAAAACTTCGCCCTTCATGGGTTAACCTAACATAACCTAACCTATTTTAAACTAACCTTTTATTTACATTCTCATCTCTATAACAACATTATCAAACATAAAATTAGTTTGTATTATTCTTACTACGAGTATATTTAATATTAATTTCAAAAGAAATTTAAACGAAATAAGAGCCATTGAAAAAAAGTATTATTTGAGGAGACCTTGGAATAAGTTTCCTTCTTTTGAAGGTTTAGTCACCCTATACAAGTAATTCAAAATTAATATAAATAAATATTACATAACCTAATTTGTGTATACAAATACCTGATTTCTTTAAAACATACTTCTACAAAGAAAATAAAATGGGTTCTGAAACTGTTTACTTGTAGTATGCTAAGTTAAATGTTATAAATATATGGAATTAATCCACAATTGATTTTAATAAAAATTGTACTCTCGTAAATTTGTACCCTCGAATTGATATCAAATTTGTTCTACATCAGATGAGTATAACATACACATACATCATACATTTAAATAGACTTCGATAGATCCCTGGAATCCACTGGAACTTTGTTTTTAGTGCTGATATTTTCAGGTTAAACTTTTCTACGTTAGCTTCCAAAGCGTGGACAATTCGTTGTAGGCCATCTTCATTATTTGATATTATTACCGCGTCATCTGCGTAGCATCGAATCTTTATTGCTCTGTTGCCCATTTTGTACAACGTTCCTGACTTTTTTACTTCTTTTATTAGTTTGTCCATCATCAAGTTAAACAATTTACGGGCTCAAGCTATCATCCTGTCTTATACCTAATTAAATGTTGACTTCCTTTATTAGTTCGATTTTTATTTATATATTTTTGTTCTGTTTTGTGATCAGAGTTAATATCATTTATTATCTGTGTTAAAGTGCTGTTGTAGTCTCTCTGTGTAAAAGTTCAATCACATATTGTAGTCTAATACAATCGAAGGCTTCAGTGAGGGAGATAAAACACATATTTTGATACTGATAACATTTAATGGGCTTGATGTTTTACCTAATTAAAACTGATCGTATTCACAAGGGATTTTATAAGTACAATTCTTTGTTCTTTCTTGTTTATTGTTAGGTTTAGATTTAGATAAAATAGGTCTCAACGGGGTTATTTGTAAACTTTTGATGGTAAAGGTGGCTGTGACACTGCCTGTAGAGATGATATTATATGGTGGGAATTATACTTCCCACTGCCTATGAAAGGATTAAAGGAATTGGGGCACGATTCCTCTCAAAAATTCTCCCAAAAATATATATCTCCACGAAGAGTAGTTTAAAGACAATCAAATCTATTTGTTCTAATACATATTTATTTTTACTTGTTTGTTACCAAACCTAAGTAGCAAACACTTTAATCCCTATTAGATGATATACCGTGATAAGATCGTATTGAAGTAGATTATCCTAATCCCTTTTATTGTTCTAGAAATGCAAATATCTTTTATCGATAGAAATAAATAAAAAAACGTCGGTAAATATTATATGTATTTTGAAAATCGCCAGTTAATTAATGGAAGTAATAAATAACTGAATATACTAATAGTAATTGAAAATAAGAAAACACTGGGGGTAAGTTATAAATGTTATCTTGTACGAAGAAAGGCACTTACCATTCGTCGAAATGTGAATTAGTTGTAGCTCGAGCCCCATCACAACTCGATGGCTAACGTCGCGATGCTAACGGCGGGAAAGAATCGGCGCTAATAGTACCATTGCGATCATCAATCACTGTGGATGCGTAAATGTTACCGTTCCGACTTTTGTTTATCTACTGATCCTGTATGTATAGGGGTAAAACCCGTACTTCGAGATTTTCGTTCAAGGGTGGTCTGGAACCGTTTCAGAGCTTGTGTTTGAGGAACCTTCTTTTCTTCTTGTGCTCTGCTCGATTATCGTGTTTTGGCTATCAAATTTGCTATACAAATTTTGTTGATGGTAGCTCGGAAAAGGGATACAGAAGATCGACCTCGCCCTTTTCTGCCATCTATCTTACTTTGTTTTATTAAATGAGGTATATTATATCTCTCTGGGTGACGCAGAGTATCACCAAAATATTTCAGATTGTGGTTTTTGACTGTTCTGACCACTTCCGTAACTTTTCTCATCCACATCAAAACAACCTCGTTACGAACTCTCGCGCCTAAGGTACTTATACATATCCGTACCGAGTCCGTTCCGTGTTATGATAGTGCCCTGCAACAAAAAAATACAATGATGTACTCTTATAAGTATATTTATACATTGACGTTTTCCGGACGGGCTTGTCCATGCCCGGACTAAAATTAATCTTTTACGATATTTTCGGCACTGGCGATGCGCAACACGTTTTTATTGTTTTGTGAATGTGATTGCTGGTAAACAGACAAGCAGGAGATGTTGTGCGGTTAGTATATTATGGTTTCTTTTATATATATTAATGAAAAAAGAAGAGTACTGCGACATTCTATATTATTTGTGAGATTTTGTATATTTTGAATTCTCCTTCTGTTTGTCTTTTTCCTTATAGGATGCACACTCCATCTTCTGTGTTTCCGCTTTTTCTGCTATTGCTCTTTTTTCTTCATCAAGTAATAATGCCAACACGGTGTGATCTTCTATCTAAGCCGTCCTATTTTCAATTACCTTTTACACAAAAATATGCAATAACGTATTCCTTTCTTAGGCACGGTACACACACTGCGACAACGCGGTTGTACGTAAATATAACATTAAAAATACCCGGACTCGGCACTGACACGATACGGACACGACACGGATAAGTCTAAATCGACCTTAAAATAAAGTTTTTGTATTGCGTAAGACGTGCTCTTTTGAAACGCACCAACTTAGATACATTTTCAAGAAATTTGAGATTTTAAGAGTTTTGTGTAACCCACACTTCTTAAAAAAAGGTGGTTTTATTTAGAGTCCAACAGAAGTTTTATTAAAACTATTAATAGGCTAAGGTCAAATCATGCTCTAACACCTTCAAAAATGTACAAAATGGATCTAGCAGACACTCCAAACTGTACTTGTGGTAAATATGGAGATTTAACACATATCCTATTAGAATGTGTAAACCAACAAGGAAATCTTACATGTTTTTATGAAAACTTACGAAAACTAAATGTTTGTTTCCCATTTCACATAAATGAATTAATTTTCTCTGGAAACTTAGAAATCTTGAATTATATTTATCAGTTATTAAGAAATTGTAAATATAAACTTTAAACAATTTAATGTACTAACCCTAGAATTAAGATAAAATTTGTAAGCAATTTGCGAATATAATCAATCATGTAATAAATCTTTTAATACGAAAAAATGAAAAAAAAAATGGAACAAAAGAAACAAAAAAAATAAATAAAAAAAAATAGGCAAAACCAAATTAATATAAAAAAAAGACCAAAACAAAATAAAAAATATATATACATATTACATACAATATCAAAAAAATAATACAAGGAAATAAAAAAATCAAATAAATAAAAAAAAAAATACACAAAAATTCAAAACAAGTCAATTATTTAATTTATTTTTAACTTACATTTAGTACTAACTCGAACTCTGATTGTTGTTCTGTGAATACAAATAACAAAACAGTTTGGTCAATGGCTATGCCAAGGCCATTAAAAAAAAGTTTTGTGCCTCCAAAAGTCAATTAAGGACAAGTATATATATTTTTTTTAACTTTAAAACATGTGACAACGCCAATTTTACACAAAGGAATTTAAAATTGAAGTGGAGTAAAATATAGTTTTATTAACAACTACTGAATTACATACTAAATTATTACACTATGGTTGTTTAGGTAATAGTATATTACATAACGAGAGTTGTAAGAAGCTCATTACATGCGAGTAAAAAAGTTGCGCGCGAGCCGCGTAGCGGCGAGCGCAGTAATTTTACAAGCATGTAATAAGCTTACAACTCAAGTTGTGTACTATACTTTTTCTACGATTATTTTCGTTTATAAAAATAAAAATTAAATTAGCACTATATTTACACTGACAGATTAATAATTTTTAATCTGTCAAAATAACGTCTGATAATTCGTTTCCATGGTAACTCGACCAACTGACTTACGAGGCTTATGTGATATTACACATTTTTATAAAACTGAAGCGTAATTTTTTTTATTACGTGCTAGTCATTACGTGTCAGTATCTGTTATGATGCATTTACTTAGTATCCAAATAGTAGGTAATATACAATTTACTAGTAAGGGTAGAAAAAAATTTATAATAGACTGTGTCCCAAACTAGTCCCGAAGCTATATTAATAATCTCACTAAAATGCTACGATTCATCAAATAAGTGTATTGCGCTCTGCATAGAACAAAAACATTTGACTTTTAAAAGCTGGCAAATATAATTTGAACCGAGGAAATGATTGCACGCATTTCCTCAATACATATTAGTCAATCTATAGTTGAAAAACTGTAATTAAGCTACTAATCGATATGTATCACAATTATGCTTGGTGAAACTATATAAATTCAGGAAACTAAGATTAATCTGAGATTACAAATTAATGAACTAATTTGTGATTTAACAATTATTTTGGATTGTAAGTACTTGTAATTTCTTTTCATTTACTAATAATGGTATGGACTTAATTGGTGAATCATCTATCTCAGTCATTTCGAATACATCCACAACTTATTTGCTTTTCGCTATTACATTTTTGCTTTTCTTTTATAGTTATTTCATATCTTTTGTATTTATTAAACTATCAAAATAAATAATTTAAGGAGAAACTTAAGAAAGCCTTAAAACAAAACTTTTATTTACAGGTTGAAGTAATACAACCACAGCCAACAATGTCGTACTAAATAATCCCGTCCCGTCATTGATCTTAGTTTCGGTTTTCGTAAGAGCTCATTATCAATATGGCGTTATTAGAGGCTAGACCCTTCAGACCTTTCAAGTCAAGTGAAGAGTACCTCTATGCTATGAAAGAAGACTTGGCGGAATGGCTGCAGACCATGTATCCTCATTTGAATATCGCTGTGGAAAATTTTATGGAAAAGTTGGAAACAGGGGTTGCTCTATGTGAGGTGAGTACCAGGTTTATTATTTGATACATAGAAATTGAAATGATAAAAACAATATTGTTCTGAAACTATTTTTATTGTGAATAAGTCACAATTTTACTTCAAAGTTTCTATTGAAATTTCGATTTCCACTTCCTAAATCGTTTTGAATCTACCTAATTCCGAAAGGGAAATGAAAATGTCAAGATAAACTTACTTATTTTAAAGTAAAATTGTGGTTTATTCCCAGTATAAATAGTAAATTAATAAAAGTAATGTATAGTTTTAAAAAATAATTATAAAAAATATTTTTTTGTGAATAGGACTAACGTGTGCTGTTACCCAGTAATTTAGTACAATAACATCATACTTTTTCTACATTTAATAGTTTTAGAAGGTCATAATTATTTAATTAAAATATTTCATTATTAAATTAAAATAGCACTCAAAAATTTCGTACCCAAAATTAGAATCATACACCTAGACCATTTATACACCATACGTCATGAAGAAAAATTATGTTCTAACTCTCACTACTCGAAAGCTGAACTCTTTACCTTTAAAATGCATATTGAGTTTTGTCTATAAGACACTTAAATAAAAATATATCGAATTTTTACCGTCGAGCTGATATAAATTGTATTAAATATTGATTTCGCGCGCGTAACTGGCATTTAAATCGACGGTAGCTTTAAGCGTTGTTTGTGAGAGAACGTTTCATTCATTCTGAGAGAACACAAAAGGTACTAATAAACATTCTTGTTTAAAATTATCTTGGCTACATTTTTTATTAACTTTTTTTTCTACGGTGTACAGGTTCTTGGTAAATCGTTTTTTTTGCCTTTTTACTTCCCTACGAAGGGGGTTTTAAGGAAAGCCCGGTGTTGAAAGTGGTAAACTTTTTTGCATCTTTTTTGGGTACCAAAATTAATATTTTCGGCAAAATTTAGCTTGTTCGTATGATACTTAGAGGTTCAGTGGCATTTACGTCTCTGACGACTGGAGCACTAAAAAGTTTATAAAAATTATCTCGGTAAATATTAAAATTTATCGTCTAATTGACAGCTTTAATTTTACATATACCTTGACCTTAAGTGACATTTATTTTAGTATAAATATTTATAGAATAATATATTCTACCGGTGCCTTCTGAGTTTTCATAGCTCTAAAAGCTGTTATTATCTGATTATATAAATTTATTCCCGATCTTTCTAAATAAAATCTCGTTAAAATAATTCTTACCCCATAATTGATTAATGCGTGTACCGACAAATCATCGTGAGAGGAATGTACAAAAGCATATCCTATGAACAATGTCCTTTGCGATTGTGAAGAGATTGACTTGACCGTGGAGTGTGAATACTTTCACTGATTGGTGCTTCCTTATATGGCGGCCTGGATCTTACACATACTCAGCCCACCTTGACATGAACCGTACAGCCTGCTGATCTTGCCTTTACTAATGCTGATGGTAAGATTATTAGTCTAGCGGAACTAAATTCGGTGTATAAACTAAATCCTAGACAGTATTATCGATTTTAAGAGGCTCCAACTGTTTAATGGTCCAGGAAAGGTACATGTTGGTACTAATAATTTAGATTTTTTTAGATTTCTCGTTAGATCACACTCGGAAGCTTCGAGACCCAAATATTCTTTTTTGGTTTGAACCTCTTCTGGACTGAATGCGACCGCCTTGATCGGAGGTTTATGGTCTCTTCTTTGAATGTCTCATGACAAATATTACAGCTTTCGTCTGTATATAATTTTGATTATGGATAAATTATATTCATTCAGTGTAAATCTTCTTACTTTCTTAGTCGATTCACCCAGCTTATCCGTAATATCCTCCGCTAAACCTCGAAAAAAACTGATGTCCGAACATGATAAATATTTGGTCTAATATCAACTTTTTCTTAATAATGAAAAGTCTAATGCTATTTCATTATGCACTAAATCTTTTTTTAATATATAATTGACTGTTATTTCAATATGGATAGCCAAATTCTATGGTCTTTCTAATATCATACTTAATTACTAATATCAATACTTATGAACAAGCACATTGACAGTAAAATCATAAATATAGTGCAAACATTATATTGCAACCAAAGTGCCATAATTCAAATTGATGGGCAATACTCAGAAGAAATGAAGATCTGTAGAGGAGTTAGACAGGGATGTGTTTTATCTCCCCTTTGGTTTAACTTATATTCGGAAGAAATTTTCCAAAACACTTCTAGGTCTTCCTCTTCATCTCTTACCGATGGGTCTATCAAGAAGCTGGGTCATTTTGTTCCATCCGCATTACATGTCCTATCCACCTCAGACGTCCTATCTTAATATGTTTTACGATATCAGGTTCCTGATATATTCTATAAAGTTAGAAATTGTATGGTCTTCACACTCCATTGTCATTCACTGCTTCATAAATTCGCCTTGGTACTTTTTTTTCGAAACATACCAACATGTTTTCAATTTTTTTTGTTAGAGTCCAGGTCTCTGAGTTAGGACGGGGCATATTATTGTTTTATAAAGTTTTATTTTTGTATTTCTCTATATAATTGTGGATTTAAGGAGGAGATTGAGCCCAAAATAGCATCTGTTGGTCGTGCCAATTCTGCGGTTTATCCCTACGGTAGTATTATTTCTTGGTAGTGCTAAATTCTATCGGACTAAAACCTGATGGCGACAAATAATCGCGATCCGTTTCGGTATAAAACATTGGCCGGAATGATTCACCGGATTCTATTGTAGACAATGTTTTGCTTGAATGAACGTACTTGAGATTTCGTAACTCTTAATTCTTAGTAGCTCACCACGTTTTCTATTTAACTGTAACATTGTTCTGCAAGGTCTATTTTTAGCAAGCCTTCAACCAGCATTCGGTAGATATCTTTACTTATTTGCATAAGTATATTAAAAATACTATATTATGTACTTAGGGACTAAAGTGATTTTATTGAAAACTTGTCGAATGAAAAGTAGGTATAGTATTAACAATATGTTTTACAGGGTTGCAGGCACCTGTTCGTGTTCAGGATTTTCCATGAAACGTTGTTGCTTTCTACCTTACTGCCATTGTTTCATTGATATCGTTACACCGACTTCTCCGAGCAAGTCCTTTCTTTCCATTATTATATGCTTCGAGGCTAGCTGTCGTGTCTTTTATTGTACGTATCCAAATACTGCCAATTGTCTGTCCTATATTTCCTCACATAGAGTTTCATTTTGTAAGTATTTATTTCTTTGTGGATCTTTCCAGTTTTTATCTAGTGAATCTTCGTTCGTCACATTGAAGCGTTTCTTGGTTTCTATTCTTATTGTATTTTGATAGAGGAGAGATTATATTCATTTTGTTTTTATTATAGGTGAGATCTTCTTTGTCTTGTGCGGACACCATTTATTACACAGCAAAGAATATTGTGAATATCGTTTGTTTTATTTCGTTATAAATACCCCTATTTCCATGCTTTAGAATCTGTTTAGATAAATCTTAAAATAAGATGGATGATGTCTTAGACTTTTGTTGGTTTAAACATTGCGATAAATTTTTTTTTGTCCGTCTTAGTTTCTTTGCACATCCAGTTCTGACAATAATGATTGGTATAATCTACTTTAAGCAATATTTCGTGTTCCAGTTATCAAACAAATTGTTATTCATTTCCCCTTGCATATGATTTGTTTATTTTACCTTGGATTAATAAGCGAGCGTTATAGCCTATAACGCCCTATTCTATAAGAAAAAAAGCAAATGTTATAGAAGTTTTTTTATTTTCAACAATTTTCTTAGTTCAAAAGAAGTAAATCTTATAGAAGTAACATTTTTCACTTTTATCAATTGATAACATTTAAAACCTGATTCTGTCAGATCCTGTTCTCGAACCCTGGAGATTTTTTCGGGATGTATCCTTTAGATTTCATTTTTTAAAACGATATTATAGGTACAACAAAAATGGAAAATATCATCATTTTCGGTAATAATTCATGTGGATTTCAAAATAGTATATTTAGTCTACAAGGAATTCCACAAAGAAAAAGGAACAAAAATTAACAAATCAATTCCTGAAAGTAAGCCAATAATATTATTATGGTTTCATTTATGTCAGCCATTTTATTTTTCAATTTCCATTGAATAAATATTTTGTACTCTTTGTCGTAAAATGGCCTGGATTGAAGCGGCAATAAATTTTCTGTTGCCTTTATTGCACTTTCTCGAATATTTTCTGGTAAATCCATAACTGAATATAAATCCAACTACATAATATAAGTAATCAACAAACGTCAAAATATCAACAACTGTCATAGCCTACTTCAAGCATTTTATTTGTCATAGACCACTAATAATATGCCACAGTAAAGTGAAAAATAAAATCTTGTATGTAAAGGTAATGGATTTTGGGAACAGCTTTGACCTTGAAAATGCCACAAAGAATATAACTAAATATCTCTTTTCTTACTCAGACTCTTTAAAGTCTTTTACAATATTTTAGAATCGAAGATATGTAATTATATTATTAATGTATTGGATTTTGACAAGAGCTATGCATTATGCCTATTTAGTACACAAGTTTATGTGAAATGTTCAAGGTCATAGCTGTTTCCAAAATCCATTACCTCTACCACTGGTGTTACCATCGAGCAACATCCATCCCTCGGGACAGAGTACCTCCGGCTGGATTATGTTGCCCTCGGTCGTCAATATCTTATTAACACTCTTGCATAAATTACTATTAAGTTTTATGATTCGGAAAATATGTTCGGAGAGTATCTATGTTTATATTCATATTATTGTTATGTACAAAAATGATCGGCAGGTCTAACGTATTAAATAGGTACTTCAGAATCGATAAAATTTTAGATCAATATTGTCATTGTCTCGCTTAAATGATTTTAAACTTATTTTGGTACATATTAAAATAAATGATTGATTTTTTATTTTGTAATCATTTTTTTGATAAACTGCTTTGTATACAATCAATGCTTATCGTTCTTTCTTAATAAGGCAAATGTCTGTGATATTACGA